AACGCCCGGTCTTTAGACCGCCCACTTGCTAGATGCCCTCTGACGGAGGGCTCAGTTGTTCTTTGTTGGGGCGGCGGGCATTAATCGGAATTGCATGCCCTTTTTGCTGACCGCGCTCGTGCCCATGAATGATTCTGCTCTCCTTTATTACATTTTAGGAGCACATACAGTCAACTCCAACCATCTCGCAAGGTAAAACGCGTAAAAATCACGAGCGACTCAATTTTCGTGATAAAATATGCACGCTACCGTAACCCTAAATTCGGACGCCGAGTTTTTGAAAGTTTCTTTTCTTTTCAAGAGTTTTTCCTCCGTGTTTTTGTTGTTTTTCGTATTCTTTTCTTTGCACTGGATGATATCCACTACTGGGAGATGTGATAAAGGGATTTGTGAGCCAGGGGTTGCACAAAGACCGCAGGGAAGTCTTGAAAAGCAACTATCGATAACACTTTTATCGCGGGAGCTGTCTGTAAGTAAACTGGTGAGGTTTATTGTCTTGTGATTTTATTGTGAGGAACACTCAGATTCAACTGATACGATTTGGTAGTGGCTATTAAAGTGGATTCTTCTTTAGATTTTGTGGAGCATCCAGTGTATTTAATAGTGCCACTTTTACACAAACTGGTCTCACCTAGGCCGAAATTCCCTCCCATGAAGGTTCAGGCAAAATCTTCCGGCCTACAATTGTTTCTTCGCAGTTTTCAGTACTGCGTTACCTTCTGTCACCCTAGCACCCTAGAGCGGTGTTATCATGACCTAAAGTTGAAATTACTTCTATTTCGCCGAGCAGCAGAAGAGCAGATGAGTCATTGCTCACCGCGAGCTGCGTGCTCCCCCCTCCCAAATACGTTTACACCTTAAAACTTCCTGTACAGTAACAAAAAGTACTTACCATTTCAAAGTAGAAACAAAACTTACAGCATAAACTTTCTTGGCACCAGCACGAGCAGCAAACATCGACAGTATGCCTGTACCGGATCCAACGTCCATTACTATTTGTCTTTGAAAAGGTGCTTGTTATGGTAGATCGAGTTGCGATAGGTGACCGTTCGAACTTCATCTTTCAGCATTTCCTTAAAAGTAAGTAATACATACAACAGTATGAATGTAGTCTTTCATAAACGAAGTCGAAACCTCATGAATCCCAAAGTGAGCATACGAATCGAAATAATAATCCTTGCTTGTCATTTCCGAGGGAGCTAGTCGAGTAGGTTGCGAGGCGGTTGCGTTTTCAGCCATTCTGCCTTCAAAAATACTCATCAAGTTAGAAATCCCAATGAAATAAAACCGTCCCTCTAGCAGGAGTGTTTGCCTCGATTTTCGATTACTAACGAATGCAATGTAACGACTGCGCAAGCGTTCCTAAGTCTCACGAGAAAATCCGGCAGATGCTTTCCTTGCTCAAAGATGAAATGAAAGAAAGAAGAGCAAGGAAATCAAGAAAAAAAAATAAAGATGTGAATGCCGAAATCACCACACATGAAAAATTTTTGAAAAGAGTTTGCGAATGGCTGAGCTTATCACTGCGGGACCACCCATTAGCAAAAATTGGCCGCCCTTGAATCAAGAGAAAAATTTTTGTCGACGGTTGCGTCGCGTGGAATCATTTTGTAACTGGAGCGCTGAAACGTCGCGAACAGCCAACCTTAGATTATATTAGTACGGTCCTTTTGACTGAAAGCGA